GAAGACGCCGCTTACGGTTCCCGTCGAGCTCTTCAGCAACGAGTCATCCAATGGTCTTCCAGAAGATGACACACATCTTAACATTAAACTCATTCAATAATCAGTTCAATCATTCACTCAACAAATCCATTGTAATTAAAGTGCATTTCGTTTAAATTTATTTCCGATTATTACATGATATTTGTGTTTAAAGTGTTTCTTAAATTATTTAACAATAAATATATTCTTAAAAAAGAGTTAACAAAAGAAGTGATTTGTTTATATAATTCTGACCAAAAAGTAGATCTCAGCCATGGCTACGACCAGAGCGCCAAAGAGTCCGCTCAGTATTTGCTGTAAGTATAGGACATAAACAAAGGCTTAGACTTAAGAAACAATGGAAGCGATTGAATGATATATACAGAGGAGATATTTGGCTCCGGAAGTGAATACTCGACCGCTTTATAGCAGAAGAAGAAAGTGCCGCCAATTGTGAGGAATGCGTTGGCGGTGGCGATGAGTGTCGGACGCATTTGACGGACTATTCGATCAAATGATTGTCTTAAACATCTATAAACAATAACAGAGCAAACAATGGCTTACATTCGGCCCCAAATGAGACGCTTTCGGCCGACTGTTTGGCCGGATTGGAGCCGACGCTCACCGAAGAGGTCATCGAATTGTATTCTCTGTTGGATTGCTTGCAATTCAATTCAGCCAAACGGTCCTCGAGTTCTTTGTTCTGATGGTTTAAATGATTCAAAAGGTATCAAATGTTTGTCTTCTTCGGCGGTAACATTGAACGAGTGATACAAACCTTTCGACTTTGAGGTAAAACAACGCGACATTCATCCAAGAGTTGGTAGAAATAGAGCTCATAATTGGTGTCAATTCGTTGAAGACATTTGTGAATTTCGGTCAACGAATCGTACGATAATTGCTGTTTATTCTCGTCTTCGGTGTCCATCAATGTCTTGAGTTGTGTCACCGCTTCGGCCACCGCTTTGTCGGTCTTATGGGACACATCTGTGGCCAAACAACGCCAATGACTTCAACACTTTGGCGCACAACAAGTCCTTCTGCTTCTTAAGCACTTTGTCCGCCTCCTGAAGAGCCTTCTTGTTGTTCCCGTTATCCAAACAATCTGTTCAATACATGTCAACGCATGAGATAATTAGTTCAAACACACATGTCATTCAAATAACCCACAAATGGTCTAAATGTTAAATTGTAAACCAAATAAACCAAACATTTACTCAATTTTGATCATAAAAATGCATTTCATATATAAAAACACAAAACAAAATGCGAGACAATCGCCGGAAAGAGGGATCAATTGTTAGGCAAAGACAGCTTAATATACAGACCATAAATGGGTCGAAGTCTTCGCTCAATGATGTGAGAGTTGTCCACATTTTTGGCCATCATTTTAACCGACGGTTTGCGACAATCAGTAATCGCTTAAATCAATGGCTATTTTACACCAAATTTGGTCACAAAAAACCCAACACTTGTTGTCAGCAAATCATTGGCTTTAATGATGACAAACAAAATCAAGTGATTATTAAACGCCTGATTCAAGTAATCGCTTAAATCAATGGCTATTTTACACCAAATTTGGTCACAAAAAACCCAACACTTGTTGTCAGCAAATCATTGGCTTTAATGATGACAAACAAAATCAAGTGATTATTAAACGCCTGATTCACTGCATATATGAGACACAAGTGTTGTGTTGTGTAAGCGATGGCAATGTTATCACTGTTTACAGTATAATAACATCCAAAACATCGCTGAGAGACCAGAGATTGGGAGGAAAAACACGTTTTTGAGCACAAAATACACACAAAACCATTGAATNCAAGTGTTGTGTTGTGTAAGCGATGGCAATGTTATCACTGTTTACAGTATAATAACATCCAAAACATCGCTGAGAGACCAGAGATTGGGAGGAAAAACACGTTTTTGAGCACAAAATACACACAAAACCATTGAATGTATGAATGAATGAACGAATGGTTGAAATGTGTGTTAAAAGGACTGCAAAACAGTGAATGTGTTTTCACTGCACGTATTGTACAGTCATTTGTGACACACTTTATGTATGGATTGAGCGATGAGTTTGTGTTTGCATTTCATTTCCTTTACATTTACATTCATTTTCATTGTTATTATTGACACCAATTGTAGTGTTTTTTACTGTAAACAAACTTTTCGTACATTAATTGCGATAATAATCACCTGTTTTTCGTGGTGTCTGTCCATACGATCCGTGGTATCTGTTTGTCTCTCTTTGCGGACCAATTGGTGGACAACTTAGTGGTCGGAAGAGATGCCGATTTGCGATGACATTCGTCTGAACAGTAAAATAGATTACAAACAGAAATACATTCATCTGAAGAGAAAACTCAAACTTTTGATATACGTATGGATCAAATGGAAACCACGCGAACCACTCATGAGTCATGACTAACCCTATTATTGTATTCCTCAGGAGAATGAGTGCTATTCGGATGAGTTGAAGAAGTCTGAGCGACAGCTGCTTCAAGTGAGTCGAGACAAGTCCTACCTCTTGGACCGACTCTTACAGTACGAGAAGATCGAGTCGTCGACATCTGATTCGGAGGACACGCTGTCCAGCGATTCGGACGCCGAGTCCCGCAAATTGGACGCCAAGAAGAAGAAGGCGGTGGCGGAGAGCGCGCCGGCCGTCGAAACGATAGCCAATACCACGTCTGCCAACACTTCGCGTAAGAAGAAGACGGCAAACAATACTCCGACGGCCAGTACTTCGCGATCGCGAAGCAGTTCCACTGGAAAACCGTCAAAATCATCGCAATCCGCGGCCACAACGACCAGCGCCTCAACGAACGCATGCATCCCATCGTCGTCTTCAGCGGCCATCACTGCCACACTATTCAAAGGCGAGACATCTTTGGCGCTGACGACCTCTTGTTCGCAGTCGTCGAAAGCGTCGGTCAGCAGCACCTCATCCGTCAACAGCACAATCGATGGTCACATGACTTCTGAAGAGTTGGAACGGCATCTGGAGTCGCGTCGACAGCCGTCGGCGATGTTGATGCCCGACTTCTGCGGCGAATGCCAAGGGCAGCTCGAGAAGTCGTTGCTCAGTAGGTTACCAGAAGGTCTTCTACTGTGTGTAGAATTGTAATTTGAGTAAGTTATTAGTCAAGTTAGTAAGTGAGTTGTTTAGAATTGTAATTAAAGTGCATTTCGTTTATTTCCGATTATTACATGATATTTGTGTTTAAAATGTTTCTTAACTTATTTAACAATAAATATATTCTTAAAAAATAGTTAACAAAAGAAGTGAATGTTTATATAATTCTGACCAAAAAGTATATCTCAGCCACGGCTACGACCATTGCGCCAAAGAGTCCGCTCAATATTTGCTGTATATATAAGACAAACAAAAGCTTAGACTTAAGAAACAGTGGAAACGATTGAATGGTATATACAGAAGATATGTTTGGCTCCGGAAGTGAATACTCGACCGCTTTATAGCAGAAGAAGAAAGTGCCGCCAATTGTGAGGAATGCGTTGGCGGTGGCGATGAGTGTCGGACGCATTTGACGGACTATTGGATCAAATCATTGTCTTAAAGATGTATAAACAACAACAGAGCAAACAATGGCTTACATTCGGCGCCAAGTGAGACGCTTTCGGCCGACTGTTTGGCCGGATTGGGGCCGACGCTCACCGAAGAGGTCATCGAATTGTAATCTCTATTGGATTGCTTGCAATTCAATTCAGCCAAACGGTCCTCAAGTTCTTTGTTCTGATGGTTTAAATGATTCAAAAGGTATCAAATGATTGTCTTCTTCGGCGGTAACATTGAATGAGTGATACAAACCTTTCGACTTTGAGGCAAAACAACGCGACATTCATCCAAGAGTTGGTAGAAATAGAGCTCATAATTGGTATCAATTCGTTGAAGACATTTAACTTAAAGCCAGTTGCTTAGCATGCTATTAACGACAAATAAGAGCAGAAGCCACAGGTAGTTACAGAACTCAACACAGTGGCGAAGCCGGTGGCGAAACAGCCAGAATACCCTGTGTAGACACCGGTAACACTTGTTGACAGTCTTGCGGAACCGATTGCCTAATCGGTACCAACACAGCCGCGGATCCACTCTCTTATTATCTCCGAAACCATTCATGACTCGTCTTTTGTGGTAATAATTAAGCGATCATTTGATCCAAACATCAAAAGTGATGCAAAAAAGAGAGAAAAAATTGTAAACAAAACACTCAATGAAAAGCATATGAGAGTCACGTGAGAGACATCTGGCGTTTGGATTGAGTGAAGGTATCAATGAATTGGTATTGGAAAAGTAGTAACGAAAGCCAAAACTTTAATATTAAACAAAAAGTGAAAAGTAAACCGCAGTCTAAACACCGGTTTTTGTACACGACTAGGCGGCGATTGGTGTCACACAAACTGGCGGCTAACCAACTGCGGTTGTGACCCCAAAATGTTGGCCAATCGTGTGATTTGTCGCCATTTCAGCGACCAATTGAAGCCACGAAAGCCGTCCGACAAAGTGAAGCCCATCGCAGGCCTCAAGAGTTTTGTGTCCAATAAATTTGTTCAATTCATTGAAGGCTATGAACGCATTCTGGAGAAGCGCTTCCCGAAGACCTTTAAGATATACCAAGTATTCACAATCGGTTCGTACGGATCACTCGATCGTCTCTCTTATAGTTACCAAAGTTTTCAAAGACACTGTTTGTCACACAAATAATAGGCGCCAAAGATTTCTACAAAGATATCGTCCAACACTTCCAGATATCAAAACAACTCTTCGATGGCAAACGTCTCAACGAATTAAGTTATAGCGAACTTATGATATATTTTAAGACACCGAAAGACATGGCACGAGTGGGTCCCGTGTTGTTGGTGTCTGCGCTCCCGTTTGCCAATTACGTGGTCTTTCCGCTGGCCTTTATGTTCCCGAAACAGCTCTTGTCCTCACATTTCTGGTCATTAGAACAAAGACAACTGTTTCAGACACAGGACCACACGAAGCGGTTATACTATTTCCGACCCGTTTTCAGACACATTCAAAGACGGCTCCCGTCTGTCACACACGACAACAAACTTCAGGTGAAGTGTCGTCAGGTGTTCGCACAGATCGGGAGCGGAACTCATCCCAGTGTTGACCGCGTATTAGACATTAAGCCCGCATTCGTTAGCAAACCCTATGGAGCGAAACACTTGAAGTCAAAGCATTTGGTAATAAAGCAATTAATGTACAAAACGAGTGAATAAAATCACAATTCAATGTTTATTTAGAAAAAACTTATTTCGAGTCTAAAAATTGCATAAAATTAGTTATTAATCCATATATGAAAAAGCATTCAAAAAACATACACACAGTATATCTCTAAAAACAATCTAAATTAACCATTAAATCGTTACATCGATATAGAGTTTGGATATTAACACAACTGTTTTGTTTAATACATGTATTTTCAGTCAGATTTATGTCGGATGTATGGCTTGAATGCCTTTCCATTGGGCAGAAGGAATCGACTTATAAAACACATGGGATTTGTACGTGAATTAGATTTGGCAATCGATAGGACAGGCATTCAAACGCTAAACTTGGATCAAATCAAAACAGTTAGTGTTCAACACTTTTCATATCAAATACACTATTCATTTAATTAATTGCCTAAAAAACAATATCTTATTAAACCGATTTTCCGGACAAAATACTCTCCAAACTTAGGTTATCTCAACTCATTTCTTCTCTACTATCGTACCGAAGTCAGCACCTAGTCATATCGTGTGTTTCAGCTGTCATTAATAATTTGTGCTTTTGTTTTGTGACAAAAGATTAAGTAACTTATTTACAGATTAAAAACAACATTTATAAAAAACCTGGGTTTTTGAATCCAGTTTCAGATAGCGATAATGAAGTGACAGGCGATAAAGAGCGCATATTAAATCCCTCGAATTGGCGACAAATTCATTGATTTTTTACAATAAAAAACACAAAATAACTAATTATTATAGCATTTAGTCATCGATTAAAATATTAAATTTAAAAAATCATTAATTATTAAATACTGTTTCGTAAGAAAACAAAAAACAAATCAACGATTGCTTTCGTTGTATTCAAAAACACAGCAAAACAAGCGATCATTGATTGGGTTTTCGTCTCATTTGTCTTTGTTTATCGAAACGCATTTCCATCTCTTCTAACACTTTGGGCGTATATCTGACCACAAGAGACACTTTGCCGACCGCCGCCTTCAGCAGTTCCACAGCCTTCTCGTGATTCTCTCCCTCAACGTTGACGCCATTCACCGAAATGAGTTGATCCCCGCGTCGCAGACAAACAAAACACTGTTTTCTAATTCATTGAATAAATGTCTAATTTTTGTTGTAAATATTTTTTGGACCCAAAAACTTAGGTCAAAGTCTATCGCTATTACTTCACTGTCCGCTATTTCTCGCGTATAATCCCTCGAATTGGCGACAAATTCATTGATTTTTTACAATAAAAAACACAAAATAACTAATTATTATAGCATTTAGTCATAGATTAAAATATTAAATTTAAAAAATCATTAATTATTAAATACTGTTTCGTAAGAAAACAAAAAAAAATCAACGATTGGTTGCTTTCGTAGTATTAAAAAACACAGCAAAACAAGTGATCATTGATTGGGTTTTCGTCTCATTTGTCTTTGTTTATCGAAACGCATTTCCATCTCTTCTAACACTTTGGGCGTATATCTGACCACAAGAGACACTTTGCCGACCGCCGCCTTCAGCAGTTCCACAGCCTTCTCGTGATTCTCTCCCTCAACGTTGACGCCATTCACCGAAATGAGTTGATCCCCGCGTCGCAGACCTCCCTGTCTATCGGCCACTCCTTCCGGTATTATACGTGAGATATAAATGGGAGAGTTCTGTTCGCGACCGCCCATCACATTAAAGCCTAAGCCCTCTTCCGTTTTGGGCAATTCAATGACTCGCGGGTGTGAATGGCCTTCGGATGCGGCGAACACTGGATGTGGACACCAATCAAAACACAATTCTTTAATTCATTACTCGATAACACAGAGAAGTGATGAATACAATACCAGCGACAGTGGCTTTGGCTGTGGCCGACGCTCTGATGTCGGGACTGCCGGTGATGTCAACCGTCTCGTAGACCCGTTCGTACACTTCGCGGATGGCGTTAAAGAAGTCACTCTCGAGAACTTTCTGCAACGCCGACAACTTCTGCACCGAAACATCGCTGTCGACCACACGAGACAATCAATTAGACAAATAATCAACAAAAACACCATTAAATGGCAGCCAATAGCGGTTGGGAAGCGCTCAACCGGTGGCCACACAATACCTCTGAATCCAAGCGTTGTATTCAGTCTTCTGGAGTTTAGACAACAGATCGACGGCTCTCTTGATATCATTGCCTAAATTGAGTTTCTCCTGCGAAGAGGCGGCCATCGATTGATCCAATAATTAGCGACAAAAACAATTACGAGTGACAGACAATGGAAACGGCGGACAAATAATGGCCACAAATGGGACAAAACTTTAGCGATAAAAAAGTGGTAAATATTTGCGAAATAAAAACAAAAACTCGTAAAAAAGACAACAAAATAGTGTTTTCAATAAGTGATGGCTTTTGTTGTGCGCAAACTCTTAGACCCATAAAAGCAATACTCATTTCTTTATGCCTTTCTCTCCACACAAATGCCTAAACTTATCATAAGATTGTTATGCGATTGCATTGAATGCAACTTTTAATTGAGAAAAAAACTATTAATTTTCTTATCAAACATTAGCCGAGAGTTTGTGTGTTTTCACGACTCCTTTACGTACGGAAGGGTTGAACGGATATGTGATATCCATATACTGTATAAGTTGTATAATACAAGTAATTTGATGTAAGATATAGTATAGTTGGCGATCACTGGCATCGATGGCATGTATTGTAATGCATGGTAGACATGCAACAAAATTTCCCTTTTCCCTCTTCCCTGCAGGGATTCCCTTTTCCCTTAAGGGAAAAAGAGGGAAAGGGAATGGAAAATGAGTGAAGAGGGAAGGGAAGGGAATCCCTCTTACACAGAGAGGGAATCCCTTTAACCAAATTTCCCTCTTTTTCCCTTAAATTCCCTGTAATTTAAGAATAGTTTTTCTAACAAAATATGTATTAAAAGAATTGAAATATGTATTTGTATTGTCTATGAATCAACATAACATACTGTAAATGCAATGCACTGTATTTTAGTGAAAACACGCTTTGATATCATTATTTGCTGTGATTTTTAAGGGAAAAAGAGGGAAAAATAATTAAAAGGGAAAATAAGGGAAAAAGAGGGATTCCCTGTTGCCTGTAGAGGGAAGGGAAGGGATTCCCTCTTTGCATAGAAGGGAGGTCTGCGACGCGGGGATCAACTCATTTCGGTGAATGGCGTCAACGTTGAGGGAGAGAGAGAGAGAGAGAGAGAGAGAGCTAGCTAATATTTAGAACCTAGCTTATTCTTATATTTGATATTAAATTTATTGATACGAAACTTTAATAATACATAATTTAATGAAATTACACTAAAAAACATAAACTTTTGTAATAATTACAAAATGTATTATTATTAGAGACAATCAATTTATGATTTAAACTATAAATTGCAAAACTATTACTAGTTTTCTGATCAGACAATACAAAAAAGGTGTGAATTATACATAATATATCAATAGTTTATATGTTAAGCACCTCTCAAGACATATTGTCTCTCATTTACTGTTATATAATCGCATATTTAGTTTATTTTTGTTTATAATTATTGAGAAATAGTCAACCGTTTGATTGCATTTTGTGCACAAAAAAGATATATAATTAATAATATATACCGTAATTATATATATATTTATAATGACATTAAATATTTATATGAAAAATGCGATACAAATGAACACAATTATAATGAAATATAAAATTAATTCAAAAAAGAAAAACAAATTACAATATTAGTTAAGAATTGCATTATTAAGTGAAACAACACTTTATGTCTAACTATTTACAGAGACGTCGGCTTCGCTCTGGTCGGGCGGCACTATAGGTATGGCGGCCTTCGGTCGCCGCTGCGGATGGGATGCGGTTCTCATGCTTTGCTGTTGACTGGGATCGTAATAGACGGGTCCCCTATACATCTCGATCTGGTGCGGGGCGGCCGCCGGTTGCGGGGGTACGTGTCCCGGATAGCCGGGCGGCACGTGTGTGGGCTGAGGCGCCGGCGGGAACTGTGGATAACCGGATGGTGCGGATAACTGTGGATAACTGGGAATATAGGCAGACCCGGGCGGGGGTCCGGCGATCACGTTCGTCGGAGGCGGGGGTCCGGTTGGAGGCAAAGGTTGTGGCATTTGTGGTGAGGGAACGGACGCCGTAACTACCGATGTCGGCACAGCTGCCGATATGTATCGGGTGTTATCGCCGCCAGTGTTCTGCGGCACCGCTTGCGGTAGATATCGTTGGGTTATTTGTTGGGGCATTTGTTGTGGCATTTGTTGAGCCATTTGTTGTGGCATTTGTTGAGCCATTTGTTGTGGCATTTGTTGTGGTATTTGTTGTGGTATTTGTTGAGCCATTTGTTGTGGTATTTGTTGTGGTATTTGTTGGGGTATGGGTTGCGGTAATTGTTGCGGCATTTGTTGAGCCATCGGGGGTGACATGTATGGTGTGGGGTGTGTTTGCGGGGATTCAGTGGCGTTGGGCGACATATAGGCGTGATATGTGTTGCGTGGCGTCGACTGGTCGGGAAAGTAGGCCGACGTCTGTATGGTATGCGTGTCGTAGAACTGGTGGCTTATGTTCCGATTGTCACCCGTCTGTGGTATTTGTGTATTCGATGTAATGGTCGACATATTGTCAGTAATCACTCTTTGCTGTTGTTGTTGCTGTTGCTGTCGAAGCGATGAATACCTCTTAGGTCTGGTTTGTTCGCTATTATCATTCATTCTGTTCATAACGGCTGACTTGTCGTCGATCATCATCTTCTGCATAGGACTCGTCTCAGAGATATAATTGGGTTCTCTGTCTCTCTGCGGACCGTAATCTCTCTCCTCCTCATAGTATCGATCGGTGTTTCTATTGGGCTCTTCCGAGTGATAGCTGCGATCCGACCGCACGTTCCGATGTCTGTAGTTATCGTTTGGCTCTTTCTGGTGACCATGATTGGGATAATTGTTGGTATTGAGCGACTTTCGTATGGGTCGACCGGAACCCTCCATCTCAGGGGGCTTTCGGCCTCTGCCTCCGCGACCGCCACCACCGCCGCCGCCCCTCTCGTCGTCGAACTCGTAATTTCCCGAAGAATTTCTGTACGAAAACTTTGAGTTCTCAAATGTTTGCGTTCGCACGACATTCGGTCCGGCGTTCGGGTCGTTATAATTGGCTCTATTGTTGTGTTCAATCGCTTCAATGATTTTCATGGGCTCTGTTTTGTACTCATTATTCATGTGCTCTTCGCTCTCACCGCCGGGCCCTGAATGGCCGCCAAATCGTGGATTCGCTTTCCACACCTCTTGTGGACCGCTTTGTTGATTAGAATTAATTTTTTTCCTCAAATCATTGTTCGGCAGCTCTGGGAAGTCGTCCTTCGAGAACGGCTGCACCCGTTTCTCAACGTTGTCGTCGAAGTCGTATCTGTTGTTATCATTCAATGGCCTATCGTTACGTGATTTGTTGGAAATTCCTTCATTACTTCTTTGATGCGGTCTATCGTTCCTATCATTCATACGGTCGGGCCGTTCTTGCCGTCGATCTCTTCGTTCACTTCTATCATTCCTCTCATTTCTGTCATTTCTATCAATTCTATCGTTTCTATCATTTCTCTCAATCCTATCGTTTCTTTCATTTCGATCTTTTCGGTCGACTCTTTCGGTTTTCTCCTTTCGGTCGAAGCGCTCTCTATTCGCGATCTTCTCATTGGCTAAGCGCTCATTACTGGACCGCTCTTTGGGCGGTCGCTCTCTGCGCTCATTCATACTGTTGGTCCGACTCATGGTTTCGCGGTCTCTATCGTTTCGCTCAATGCGATCGCTTCTGAGCGTACGGTCCGTGTGGTCACCAATGGGTGGCGAAGCTCTACCGCCACGACTGTAAGCGTTCTCGTCCTGCCATTTGCGGTCGTATTTGTTGGGACCCCTGCCGTACTTGCGTTGGCGGCGAGCCTTCGGCGCGTTGTCTTCGTTGCGAATATCGTAGCCATAAATGTTGACCAATTCGTCCTTCGATTTGGGCGTCTGTTCGTCCTCTTTGAAGAGGTCGTGACCCCAGCGCTCGCTCTCAACCCATATCTTCTTCTTGGGTTTCTTGACACTCATGTCCGCCTCCTTCTCATTCTTCGCGATTACGATCGGTTTCTTTGGCGTGTCTTCCGGTGCCGTCGGCTGTTCTTTGACAGTCGCCTCTTCGACCACCACTTCAGAGGCCGCCTCCTGTGCGGCCATAATCTCGCCTCCCATACGGTCGTCGTGTTCATAGAAGGGACCCCTTTTCGGGATGTACTGAGGGTTGCGTTTGTCTTCGTCCTGATCCACGTTTTTGTCCTTTAGTACGGATTGCGAGTCAACGCTCTCCTAATCAACACAAAAAAGCGTTAGAGAAGTGACGGAAACAAAGATTTATAAATCATAAAAACAGAGATAACATACCTCTCCGTCTCCCTGTTGTCGCTCTTTGTCTTCATTATCTTTATTCTCGTTCTCGGAATCACCGGAACAGTCGTCCGACTCATCCATGTCTTCGTATTCATTGTCGATATCGTCGGCGATCTCTTCACCGCCGCCCTCTTCATCGGCAAAATCTTCATTCATTTCGTTCTCTTTTGTATCGGAATTATTGTCGACTTCTTCTTCTTCTTTGACATTACTATTATCTGACACTTTGTCGACGTTTTTATCATCACTTTTACTGTCTTCGGGAACAATGTCTTCGCTTTGCGTCACTTCACATAATTCTTCCGATGATTTTGACTCTATTTTCTCATCGTTTGGCAAATCATTAGGTTTTGACTCATTTTCTTCGACAATGTCTTTGGTCTGAGAATCGGACGACTCTTCGATTGTCACAGAATTGGGTTCATTTAAAACTTCTTTGTCGACAATTTGGGCACTAGTTTTCGGCTCACTTTCGGTCACACACTCAACACTGTCTACAGTTTCCACACATATATCTTCTTTCTCATCGACGGTCACAGCGTATGGCGCCGGAGGTGAGGGCGACAACGGTTTCGGGTGTTCAGTAACCGTGTCCTCAAAGGATTGGTCGTTACCGGCCGTCACCTCTTCGTCATCCGCGCTCTCGTATTCAGATTCGCCCGCATTTGAGGCCGAAGTGCAGCGCCTGTCCGACGACTCCGACTCCTATAATGAGATCAAATGTTGAAACCATTAGTTTTAGCGATAAATACACAGAAGAAGTGATAACCAAACGGCTATTTCTATCATAAAGTGTAGTAAAAGTCATAATCTCTTACCGGACTTGGGATAGGATTTGCCTAAAAATGAAAATAAAACAAAATAAATAAAACCATAATTAAAATCAAAAACAACAGAAAGAAATGCCAATAAAAACAGGACTACAAATGGGATCAAATGGCACACAAAAAGTGGACACAAGAAACAAAACACACGCGAACCGCAACACATACCACATCGGATGACTTGATCTCTTGAGACTCGTCGGCGGGGTCTTCGGCANAAAAACAGGACTACAAATGGGATCAAATGGCACACAAAAAGTGGACACAAGAAACAAAACACACGCGAACCGCAACACATACCACATCGGATGACTTGATCTCTTGAGACTCGTCGGCGGGGTCTTCGGCATCATCTTTGACGCCATCGTTAATGTCTTCGTGTATGACATCAGCAGTCATTGGTGTCGGCGATGACGGCATCGGCTCCTCAACACAATCGCCGCCGCCGTTGTCCGCAACGACAACCACAGCCTCACTGTCACCGACAGAATCAGTAGTTGTCTTGACATCAGTGGTCACATCATTGACATCAGCGGTCACTTCATTGCCATCACTCGTATCGCATTTGTCGGCCATTTCTATATTATCATTGAGTTTGAGGTCACAATCACTTGAGAAATACCACAAAACACTTATCAGTCGATCGTTTTTATTATAAACATTGGATTTTTGTCACAAAACCAAACAAATTGCACACCAATTGTCACCACAACTGATACCACTTTGGGTCACACTTTACTAAATGGCAACTCAAACGTCGATTCACTCAACGATTAGTTTTAATTTTGTCAACAATTTATTGATTGTATTGTTTTTGTTATCAAAAAAATAACACAAAAACTCTTCAAAAAATGCAATCAATTTATGGCTGAAAATCTCTTTCGCTTTTTTTCATTATCTCTTCATTTCTCATATCAATTACGGCTCTTATTATCACCACTTTATTGGATAAGTTGTGTTCACACAACACTTCTTCTGTGCAGAAACTGATCCATTCGGTGATCCGTCGGCTCAGACCACGTGTTGATCACCGGATTAGACCACGTGTGTGTCGCGACTGAACTCCACGTGCTTTTAAATACCATTTATTTAATGCTAATTCTGTGCTATTTATGGCGTGAACTGCAGTGCAGACCATGTCTTGTAAACAATACATGAGTTTTAATTAAATTTATTAAAATTTTAGTGATTTTATTTTAGGCGTGGATTTTGTGGTCATATTATTACACATTTTTTGATTTAATTAAATTAACTATTTGTTAAAATAATCGCTAATTTAATGATTAAAAGCAAACTAAAATTAAATAACCGGAGTAGGGCCATACAAAGCTAACGTTACGTTTTTAAAATAAATCTTAGAACCCCTAAACATAATTACAGTATAAATCCTCTCTGAAGACCCCAGACTTAACCCACGCATAATCGTAACGTTTTATGCGTGAGTATAATATAGACAACCCGTTCACACCTCTAATAGTTTGGCAAACTTTTGGCGCTGAAAAATAACAATTGTTTTTGTATTTCATTTGACAACAAATTATTCGCACAAAAGAGTCGGTAATAACTGTCGGCCAAAAGCGGTGACCAAACACTACAACGATGTCCACCGCATACGAGCGCCAGAATCTGCCGGAACTGCTTCAGGCATACTATCGGCTCCTCTTTCCGCACAAACTCTTTCATCGATGGCTTTCCTACGGAAACGGTCTGTGAATTAATG